CTTATCGGATCACTGTTACCGATCGTATGCTATGAGCCCAGTCCTGCACTTATCGGATCACTGTTACCGATCGTATGCTATGAGCCCAGTCCTGCGCTTATCACGAGCCCTTCATGTGACCAGACATTGCATTAATTTTAGTGACTTCTGTCAGCCACGCACTGTACTACAGCTTATTCACAGGGACAGCGTGTGAACGCCGCTCAGGGAGCAGTCCTAGTTGCTAGGACTCTGGACTCTTCAGAGATGTCCACCCTATTCAAAGCAGAGAAGCAAAGGCTTGGCCTGCAAGTACCACACCGTCAACATTGTTTGGGCTCCCTCCCAACTGTCCTAAGGTCCCTGTCATTGGTCACATAAGGCTGGGGACTCAAGACGCGGACTTGGGTAGTCATCTGTCAACTAGGGCAAAAGCGGAGGACTGAAAAGTTGTCCAAGGCAGCAAGGCGTGAAAGGGAGGAGCACTTATGATGTCCATGTACTTACATGAGGATGTACACATGACTGAATGGGTTTACATGTGCTGTGGGTGCAGACATGAAAGGGATGGAAACCAAAGCAGAAAGTCAGAACCTCAAAGATGACCTGAAGAGATAATACTCATCTCAGAGCCTGAAACGCCCTCTGACACGAGTATGAGAAACAGAGAGAGAGGTCAGTTCACACCCAAGGCCCCTTACAAGGAGTTCAACATCCCCATGTGTCCAATAGCACCGCTTACTCGCTCCGCAGTCTGGGGTTTATAGTGAAAACTTCTGCTTTCTGTTGTGCTTCGCCTACAAAGCACCAGGGGCAGGAATAGAAACAGACCGGCCCGGGATGGAGGAAACCAGGGCGTCTATTGAAAACACACCTGCCCTGCTGGAGGAGGAGACCTTCCGTGCTTTGAGAGCACTCAAACAGTGGGAAGACCGAGTCCTTGATAAACCGGAGAACCTCTCCTCAAAACCCTCTCCCAATTCTGTCTTTATTGCTACCATTTCTATCTCTGCTTTCTGGCTCCTTCCCATCAGCACCCAAACACATTAATGCCCATATAAGATAATTTTCTCTGGTCTCCACATTTCAATCACGGTGCTATCTTGGGTCTCCTGCTTCCCTTCCCAGCACACATTGCTAACGTAGACACCCGTGTTTGTTGAGAGCATTTCCTCACCGACTTTCAACTCAACTCACTCAGACTGACCTGTAACGCCAAAGTCAGCCGCTGCGCAGCGACGGTCAGTTCCCCACCAGCATTCCACTCTTTGCTTCTGGAACAATGATATATTTGACCCCGGCCACCTTTTAGGAACACGTTTCCTCTTGCTGTTCAATACAGCAGACTCCCTAGGTCACCCTCACAGGACGTCCTACCTGCCTTTCTTGAGGAACAACAATGTTGGGAGGTCCAGTAGTGGCCTTGGGTTTTCTGACCTCTAACTAGACAGCTTCAACCAGCCCCCTGTCCTCCAGATCCCTCTATCTACCCTGGGTCCATATCCGCAAGCATTAGCTGTGTGACTTGCGTGTCTCTTGCATGTGTGATGCAAATGTGTGTGTGGCCAACATAAACTCTCCTGCCTCCACCTTCTTTGAAACGTCTTCCCACCCCTCACCCTCCAGCACAGAAAGTGTTCCCCTAAATACGAGCAGGTCTGTGCTTCATCTCTGGCTTCCACCCCCAGTCATAACTGGAGGCTCTGTGTCCAGCACGCTCTTCTCTCCCTCTGCCCTGCAACCAACCATGCCAGTCTAGGCTTCCTCCTCTTCTCGCGTGGCCTTCTAGGCACCTCCTCCCTCTTCTACCAGCTGCCATTACTGCCCCTGCAGACGATTCACCTACAGCTAGGATGCTCTCTGTCATCATTCTCCCTATAAAGGAGTCATCCCGCGGCTTCCCACTGAACCCTCATAACTCATAGGCCAGGGCCGTCATCACCTCCTGAGATCAGTCCCTCCCAAGCCTCCAGCTTCCCCACCTGCCGTGGCCTCACTCACCCCACTCCTGTTCTCTAGACACACAGTACCTGGGACGCTCTGGTCCCTAGATCTCACCAGACTGCAGCTCCTTTATGACTTTGCTCTCTGGATAGAAATGGCCTCCTCAGAGAGGCCTCCAAAGACCACTTGGGATGAGCCTCCCTGTCTCTGTCCTTCACAGCCTTGGACACGCTCTTTGCCTTTGGCACTCAGAATCCAGCGCCCTGGTTCCCGTGTCACCTTAGCTCTCCATTTGCCCGCAAGGCTTGAAGTGGGGTTTCTCCAGCATGCTCACAGCTGTGTCCTCGGCAGTCAGGCCACTGAGAACTTGTAAACACTGGGGGCTCACCATTTACTCACTGGATTTACTCATTTACAGCCTGTGAGACTTTCTTTTAAAAGGATTGAGAAATGCACCAGACCATGACTCACTGAGAAAGGAACAAGGGAGCAGAGGGAATGTAACTCTGATGGAGTTCATGCCTTACCAAGGTGAGACTCTGCGGTGTGGCGGCGCTGAATGTGGCTTTGTAGGAAAGCTTGGTTCATAAAGGCCTTGTCACAGAAGTGGCACTAGAAAGAAAGCAACACAGTCAAGTGTCTGCAGCGAGATTCTCCATCTACCTGCAGTAAAAACCAGGGACCTGAAGCATGGCCTCTTGGCAGCTTTCTCCGAAAAATAAAGAAGCTGGCTAGAGACACTAACCCAAAGGGCAAATGTAAGGGAAGAACACCTTTCCCAAGCTAAAACAAGTCAAGGAATACATCTTCTGACAGTTGAAGCATCTCCTCTGGTAACGTCTGGAAGCCCTACTGATGTTTCTATTATGTCGACTTCCATCCTATTGCCACTGACTTGCTCATGGTAGGATGGGAGACCACACCAGAAACCAGCCCTGCTAACACTTTGATGTAGGATTTTCTGCTTCCAAATATTGTGAAAATAAATTTCTGTTACTTAAGCCATCTAATCAATGGTATTTATCATGGCAGATCTAGTAGCTAATACACGTACATACACATATGTGGATGTGTGTGTGTGTACGTGTCTGGAGTGTTTGAAACCTACAAACACTCTCCTACGAATACATACATTTATGAAAACTTTTCAAAGGTACATGGTACACAACAGATAGGAAGGAGAATACAAGGACACAATATTTCCTCTGGAAATGAACTGGGGGAAACTATTAAAAAAATAGGGGTATGACCCCTGGGAGTTGACCATACTCCAGGGGATGGCTCCACACCCAACCGTTTGTGGATAGGAAAAATTGGACGCCATAGTTTTTTTGCTATTTTACAGAGGATATGAAGTTGGTAGGGACAGATCTGGCAGGAGCTGGAAGAGGTGAATATGATACAAAAAATGCTATGAAATTCTCAAAGTTAATACAATTTTATATAAAAATATATCTTTTTGTTTAATCTTAAAGTTTCCCTAACATAGAGGATGGAAATACAGCAAAACCCAGCACACATGACACTGAAGGTGGGTGAATGTGTCTGTTACATGGTGCTCTTTCTATGCTTATTATTAGTCCATTGTTCGTTCTTACTGACTTTTCTTTGAAAATCTTCCAAATATAGATATTCACGTTCTGGTTATTTTGTTTTTTCTGTATACTGTAATTTCTACATGATAAAATATTGAGAAAAAAGCAGTATAGATTGTCATTGTAAGCCTTTTATACATCCTGGTTGCACACCACACACATCACACCCACATTCTCAGTGGCGAAAAAACTTTCAAGAAGTGGACATCCTGAAATATTTAATTTTTACTACATGATTCCTGCGATTTCTTGAATCAAAAGGGCATGGAGACAAAGAAAGGGATAAAGAAAGGGATAAAGGAATGAGATCAGGATCACTGAAGATGAACGTGATCACGTGGTTTGCCCAGTCTCTTTGCAAAGTCCAGGGCTTCTGGACTTTGTCTGCAGAGGTAAAGAGAAACTAATATGCTGGAGCCATGTGACTGTTCTCATCTTGTAATAAATCAGCTCTAGTGTTAGCTTTGTCGGCTACAGGGCTTCCCCACCTCACTCTCAGGTTTTGGCTACAACAACAATTAGCTGTATGTTAAGCATGGCCACACAAATGCCATTAGCAACGGCTATGATGTGGGGACGACGACCTTCCCGTTTCACAGAGCAGACACTGACGTACGTAGGAGCTGAGCACTTTGTTAAGGTCTAGCAGTGGCAACAGTAGTAGAGATGTGCTGTGGAATATTCCTTTACACTGTGTGAAGATGTGTCACTGTGATTGGTCTAATAAAAGGCCAAATGGCCAATAGCTAGGCAGGAAGTATAGGTGGGACTTCAGAACAGAAGGCGCTCTAGGAAGAAGCAGAGCTGCAAGACAGAGAGGAAGCAGGATGGAGAGGACAGAGTAAAGGCAAGTGAGCCACATTAAAAGAACATAGACTTAAAAATATGGGTTAATTTAAGTTATAAGAGCTAGTGGGACAAGCCTAAGGTACAGACTGAGATTTCACAATAATAAGTCTCCTTGTAATTTTTCCTGAGTTGGTGGCCCAAAGACAAATCCGTTTGGGATTTGAACCTACTCATTCCCTAGAGAGCGTCTCCATTGCTGTTCTCTCTGTGTAAGCAGAGGCATGTGACCTGATTCTGCCCCACAACCAGGATGCAGTCTATCAGTCAGGCCAGAAGAAAGAGGCCACAGGATGGAGAGAAATGACTCCCACACTCTTGTTTTTGTCTAAGTCCTGACTGCATTTTCTAAGCCATGGAATTTCTTACAATCTGAACATGCAAACAGGCCCTCAACAAGTTTATCTGACATTGAAGGTAGGGTAGACTGTGAGGGAGAGAGAGAGGAGGTGGGAAGGAGGAAGAGACAGAGAGAAAGCTCAGTCCATCTGGAGCCAAGTTTCCCTGAGGACAGACAGACTCATTTAAACTCACTTTGCCCAGCAGGATACTGACTCTGTTGACTCCTCCCCCAAACCACCAGCATCAGGAAGATGTGGGTATTCCATAACAAGCAGGAGTTTCTCATCCATCACCTCGGAAATCAGAATCTCCAGAGCATCACAATCCTGGTAGGCAGGGGAAGGCCACGAGGAGTGTTTGGCCAATAAATGACATCTTCTTTAATTGAAAAAATTAAGTGTGTGTAAGTGTATACACACATTGGGAAACTTATAAATTAGTAGGTTTTCATGTGACCTTTTCAAGCATCCTTGGTGTCATCTCCCCCACATTCCGCTCTGCCTCCCATGCTGCTCCCCACCACATACCCTTCCTTTTACCATGCCTACCACACTACCTGTGTTCTACTACGCTGTGCTCCTCACTTTCCTCTCCTCTCCTAATGGTCTCTCTTTCTAGTTTCCTGATTTCTACAGGTACTCCACTATAAACACACAAATGTAAAGACTCAATTATGAACCACACATGAGAAAGAATTTGTGCTTATTCTTCTGGGTCTGGACTACTAAAATAAAACTATACTGATCAATTTACCTACAAAGTTCATAATTTTATTTTCCTTTACTGATACATAAAACTCCATTGTGTATATGTAGTAGCACGGTGTCATTGGCCATTCTACAGCTGATGTTTATCTAGTTTTCCTACACAGAAGGATAACGCCCCTCCAAGAAGCCTTAGGTTATCAAATGAAAATCGCAGTGAAAGGCATGGGAATACCCTACAGGGTTGCTGCGGGGGTCCCAGAAACCCCAGAAACAATACAATATGCTACCAGTGCTCCCGGCTACCTACTAGAACATGATTGTAAGACCCGCACTTTGATTACAGGACATGGGTAAACCAAGTTGGTACTGACATGAAGTTCCTTCCCTCCTGGCTAGCTTTCATGGTGCCGTAAGGTGCTATGAACCCTGCTGAGGGAGAACAGCCATCTGCAGGGTCACCCAGCTGTGACTCCTGCAAGTCCTCAAGGCAAGCACCCTGACAAGATAAGCCAGTGGGTGCAGCGGTGGCGTGAAGGGCAATCACCCTGACAAGATAAGCCAGTGGGTGCAGTGGTGGCGTGAACGTGATAGGGGATAACCAACATCGGCTCAGAAAACGTGGAAGAGAAAGCAGAAAGATTGTAGAGCCGATGGCAGGAAGCTTCCTTAGAAACAATGTCTTGTAGACAAGATGTAGAACGATGAGGCCATTGCATTCATGACCCCACAGCAGCTATGGCTGCCAGCATAAGACCAGCACAAGATCAAGCCCTTCGGCACTCCAGCTTGGAGAAGGAACAGGCTCCTGAAGCTAGCTACACTGGCAGTCAGCGTTTCTCTGCAGTGTAGTTCGTCCACGCTCCAGTAGAGGGTTACCTGTGCACGGGACAAAGCCCTAGGTTGGATTATTTTTTAGGCATTAGGTGAATTAATTTTAATTCATTAATAAAAATTCCCAACTGTATCCTAAAGTCAAATGACAAACGAGATTACGTGTCTTCCCCTAAACCGTTTTGTTGACCAAAATACAACCTGAAATTTCAATAAGTTTGCTCTTCACGGCTGTAGTCTGAGCACCTGACACCTACATCTGCCTACTCCAGCTCCCATTTTCCCATTTCCTGAAGACCACTTGAAGCCATTCAAAGAGTATCATGCCAAATGTGTCAAAAGTACATTAATTCTATCAACCAACAGGTTGACCTTTTTTTAAAAAAAAAAAAATCAGAGTTGGTCTTTCTTTCAATTAAGCACAAATTGAACCTCCGTAATCTGAAAGCTCTAAACCCAAAATTCTCCAAAGCATAGACATCTACCCACAAGTATAAAACTCCATCCACAACTCCATGTGATAGGTGTCAGTCAAAACATAGGCAAACCAAAAATATTATGTAAGACCAACTCCAGGCCATTGCTGTAAGCTGCATTTAAAATATCAATTAATTATCTATCTATTTACATGTGGGACTCGCGGACTGGAGAGACTTTACTGCTCTTGCGGAGGACCCAGGCGAGAGTCTCAGCATCCACATCAGGTGGCCACAAACCACCTGTAACTCCAGTTCCAAGAGCTCTGACACTTTCCGGCCTCCTTGGACACCCTCACATGATCACACGGGCACATACACGAAAACACATATTTAGATTTGAGTCCCAGCCCCAAGATACCTCATTAGGTGAACGCAAATATTCCAAATTTCAAAAGATGTCTGGTCCTAAGCAGTTCAAAGCAAGAGTTACTCAACCCATATCCTGATTTCGAAATTGCAGTATTTATCCTGGGCTCAACATCTAATTTGAACAGAGATTATTTTTAGATTCAAAGGTGTTTAATTCTTTACATGCTAATCTTAGTATTCTTGTCCTTGGTAACTGCACACATTAAAACTTCAGGAGTCTGTAACTCACTGGGAGACAGCTCTTATGAAGGAACAAAACAAGCATAAAGGAGAAACAGAAGCGTGGCAAATGTAGGTAACAGGGGCCTGGCTGACGGATCCACTAAGGTTGTTGGTTCTACTTTGGGACTTCTCTGTCATTTGGAAAACACTTTAAATTTTTAAAAAGGGGGTGGGACCCTCACATGTTGAATCATATCTCAGAGTCTTTGGGGGCCAACCTCAACAGCAATTTGTACACAACTGATTTTTTTTCCCATTTATTGTAAGGGAGGAAACAGGTTCAACAACCTGTATTTGGACAATATCCTAAGTCATGCAGACAATAGTAGATACTTAACTATCATTTCCTTGGTGGCTACAGAAGGTAATGAAACATTTTCTCTGTTGATTAGAATGAGTGTTTTTGTCTAGATCTGTTTTTTCTGAAGAACAAATCTATGGGAAGAATGGAGAAGTCAGGGCTCCTAAAGTGAACTGGCCCGGCGCAGTCTCCTACCTGGTAATAGGTGGCTTTGGCCTCTATCATGAGCTGCTGTGTGGACAGCATCTTCTTCCTGCGCTTACACTCGTCCTTAAGAAGTTTGATCTCGCCAGCCTGCTTGGTGAGCAGCTGCTTGCTCTGCTCATAGTCGATCAGGCTCAGGCGCAGCCTCTCCTCCACCAGGTTTAGCTGCGAGGTGAGGAACTCCTGCGAATGCATTAGGTATTCGATGGTGAGCTGCGCCAGGCGGATCAGCTTCAGCAGCACTGGGTCTACCCCTGACTGGCAGTGTGGGCATTTCTCATCCTCCAGCTTGCAGAAGGTGATATTCATGATGTTCTCCTGCAGCGTCAGGACGTCCACAGCGCCCGCCACCTTGTCCACGTCGATGGCGCTCAGCCGCCTCCAGTCCACGCTCTCCAGTCGCGGCCGAAACTGGAAGAAGGGCAGGGGGCCCGATGCCGCTCTGGGGGGGACAAAGGCCATGGGGGCCGCGCCTGCAGCAGAGGCGTCGGGCCCCTCGGGGCTGTTGGCCAGAGGGTAATAGACGTGCTTCTGGAAGGGCTGCGGAGGAAGAGATAGGGAGGCAGGAGAGCTTCGAGAGACCCAGCGAAACCCACCGTCCCCGCCCTGCATCCCGGACAGGTACCTCCGGCCTCGTGCATCTTACCATGCTTGCAAGCCAGTCGGGTCCTCTGCCTAAGCTTGCGCTGCAGGGGCGGGGCAGTGTACTCTACCAGGCCCGGGCCGTCTCGGGGCCGCCGCCGCCACTCCCCTCGTGAGCCCGCGAAGGCCCAGACCCCCGCTGCGGCGGCGGCGGCGGCAGCTTAAGATCTGGGCGTCCAGGACGTTGCTATGGCAGCGCCCAGCCCCGACCTGGAGCACTGGGCGTATCCGCCCACGCGCGTTCAGCATGCGCTCAGGGGCCTGCGGGACCAGAAGGATAAGAGACCTCTTGGACCAGCCGGAGAACCACACTCCTCATCTACCGGGAGCGGGCAGCTGTCGGCTGCCACCTCCCCTGACACCACCCTCCCTGGTCTCAAAAGACAGGACCCAGAAAGCCTCTGAAACATGCGTGGGGTCACGTCTTCTGAATCTTGAACTCCTAACTGTGGTCTTCTGGCTCTCCACCCCTATGCTAGCGTTAGGTTTTGAAAACTGAAATACACACACACACACACACACCCCTTTCTCACACATTTGGGAAATGTGTAGTAAGAGTTAATTGAGAGCATAAGGGCGGGAGGGAAATTTGGGATAGGACATTCTGCATGTTGACTATGGTGTTATCTGGATGTATACGTTTGCCAAAGTTAATGGAATTGTACATTTAAAATTAAGAGTGTCTTTTTTATATTACACCACAATAGAGTTAAGCTTATCAGCCTTTTAAAATTAGTCTTGCTTTCAACATACTTTTTAGAGGGATTGTTCTTCCTCTGTGGATTGGCAGCTTAACTTTGACATCTTGTTAAAATACAAACCAAATAACTGGCCCAATGTATGCAATAGTTTGTCATCCCAAAAGCATTTCTCAAAATGTTGAAGTTAAAAAGAAGGATGGGAACTTCAACCGTCAGCGTTCTACCAAGGTAACCGGGCTCCAGGATTTACCTGACAACCTTGTGCCGGTGCTGCATTCTTTAAAAAGTTCTAGCAGTGACCTGCAGACCCCAGGCCTCTCATCGTGGGGTTCCTCAGGAAGCTGCCAGTGGTTACCGCGGAGATCAAGGCGCTGAGGAAAAGCCAGGCATCCCTCCTCAATCCACCAGGGAGGCCCTGCTTGGACCAACCATCAGGAATTTTTTTTTCTTTCCTAACAACCAAATACATGAACAGAAAAAAGGATAATACAGTTCACAATAACTAACTTGAAGATAAGTTGTAATCAACTATTTTGAACACTTTCCATATAAGTAAACGCACAGCAAAGCGTCCAGAAAATGAAACACACATACTTCATTTATATAGGCCATGTATTCACAAGATTCTGGGGCTGTACGAAAACCAGATTTTACCGCAGCCTAGCATAAAAGTCCTAAGCACATAAACTTTAAAAATTGGTTCTTCTATGTACAGAACAAATCTGTTGACTCTGGCCCTCAGTCTCAGCTGTTGAAGCTCTGGGACACCGACCTGGCAGGTTTGTGAATTCTGGGCTCCATCCACTGGGCTGGCGGGATCAGCGGGAATAAGAGAGGTGTGTTGCTCACCGCTGTTTCCAGCACCTAGTGCAGCAAGGGAAAGGAAAGGGCATTCGGAATGTGCTAGCATTAAAAAATAAATTTAAAAAGCCACAAACAAAATCAAACAAACAAACAAACAAAAAACGGCTAAGTGAGTTAGATGCTTGGTTGGGGAGATAATGGCTCCAGGCCCATATCCCTCCCAATTTGCCCCCTTTGGCCAGTTAAAAGGATGGACCTTTGTTCTGTTCCAAAGATCTCTAGCTTAACGCGGGAGGATGTCGCCCGCTCCCCATGCATACCCCCCCCATAAGGATGAGAGCAGCCCCAAGCAACCCTCTTGGCGGTCACCACAGGAGCTCAGGGAATCTGCGGTTAGCCATCCTTAGCCCCCTAGGTCGAATCTCGACCACAAGATGGCCGGAACAGGAAGGCAGGGGGCATACTTTCCTGTCCCCCACCCCCAACCCGCTCCCTGCTCCCCATCCCAGGCTGGGTTTCTAGCCCTGTGCGGCGACTACTGTTCTGGGCACACCGCATCAGGCCTCATGAACCAGAAAAGACAAAGGTTCGGGAAGCCGAGTCCTAGAAGGCAAAAGATGGTTGGAGGCCAAGGGCCGCGGCGGATCCGCAGCGTTGCGGATCTCAGCAGGCAGAGAAGGGAAGAAGGCCTGACTTCGCCAGCAGAGATGAGAAATGCTCTGTGTTGTAGAAGCGCGGCGGGCGCCTGGAGCATCCCAGACCTCGACTCACCGCAGCTGCGCGCTCCTGGGCGAAAGCCGGGCGCTGCTAGCCACGAGGCGTCGCCGGGGCCCCAGATCCCGGGATTGCTTCTGGCGCAGAGGCGGGGCTCTCGGAGCAACCGAGCAGGGAGAGGCAGGCGGGCTCCTTCTTCCAGGGTGCAAGATAAAGTGTGTCTTGTCTGGGCAAGTTGTGACGAGGCGGGTAGCCTGGCGTCGCTCCTCGTCCTCCCAGGCTCCAGGCCGTGGGTGGCTAAGGCTGCCCCACCCCCCTCCCGCCCCCTCCCCTTCACGGTCTTCTGGTGGCTTCTTCTCTCCGCTACCCGGCTCCTCTGGCAGCTGGGCGGGACCGTCCGTGCCTAGACCGCAGCGCTAAAATGCGCTCCTCCAATCCCGCTGCTTCTGCAGACACGTGATGCGACGCTGAGCTCTGTTGCTGGCCCAGGGTGCTAGCTTTTCCAAAAGATCCAGATTCCCTTCTACCTTAGAGTTACTCTCTTTCAGCTCGCTGTTTTCTCTGAGGGGGCCGGTGTGAATTTTCTTCTGAGAAGAGATGCATTTTAACTGCGGATATATGCAGATGAAAGAGAGAGACCTTCAAGAGCCTAATGCAGGATGTGCTCTAGAGTCAAGAGAAGTGTGACTATTCCGTTAGCCCGAAGTTGGAACCATGATCCTGCAGAGGGGAAGGAGGGATCTCCGTACGCTCTCATAGTGCCTCCTATAAAACGCCGTATCATTCTTGATGAACGTTGAATTATAAAACTAACAAGATCACAGAGTGACAGCAGGAACTTGGCTTTTAACACGGGGGATAGAAGATCAGATTATTTACCGTATTTCTGAAATCTATCCTACGTGTGGACTTTAAGTTAACTGAGATACAATCCAATTTGAGGGATTTGGAGCGATTACAAATGTGCAAGATAATGGCACAACATAATGGGCTGATTACTTTTTATCAACTTGACATTAACTATAGTTACCTAGGAAGGCAGAACCCTGGTTAAAGAATTGCTTTCTTTGACCTTACGCATGTCTGGAGGGCATTTTCTGTAATACTGTTTGATACTGAGGGTGGTTCCACTCTTGGACAGGTGAAACTGAGTTGAAAAAAAGCCCGGAAGGAGCACTCCAGCAGTAGTCTCTGTTTCAGTTTCCGGGCATGCCTCAGGCTCCTTCCTTATGCTCCAACCTGGCTTCCCTCAATGATGACGGCTGTGTTTGGACTAAACCCTTCCCTTCCCAAGTTGTTTTTGGTTAAGGCAATTATCACAGCAACAAGAAAGTAAGTACAGGTTGTGTAACACTTTCCTCTGAGAATGAAACATTCCATCCTGCCGGGAAACTCTGTAAGCATGAAGGTAAAAAACTCAAAAGAGCTTCAAGAAGTTCCTGAAACTGACCAGACATAGTAGACTCCTCCCAGCCAAAGTAAGCAATCAAAGCTGAGAGTCCCTTTCAATCTAAGTGAACGTTTGCTGCAAAGAAGACTCTGAGACCAGATCAGCAGCCCTGGAGAAGCAGACACCAGCAGAGCTTGAAGAAGCTTAGAACAGGCACTGGGAAAGGACACTCTCTAACTTGATGAGCTGCCTGCAAGCTGCGCCGTGCGCTCCAGGTTCCCAGCTTTTCTGAGCTGTCACACATGCAAGCATGGGTCTTGGTGATGCAACTGGCTGGGTCATTTCCGCTCCTGTAAGGAATCTCGGCAAAACTTTTTGGTTGATCAAAGTGGGTTGTTTGTGGTATCCATACTTTTGTCTGTTGTGGGATTCTGGTGTGGGGCGAGTTGACGTGTGTGTTGCATCTCTTCAGGGAAAGCTGTGTCACACAATGCCAGGACAGCTACCAAAAATCTTTAAAAATTGTCTAAATAAACATATTGAAGGGGAATTGAAACATGAATAACTGGTATATAAAAGAAATATCCATTATATGTTATATATAAGAAATTCACTTTAGCTAGGTGTGGTGGTACACACCTTTAATCCCAGTACACAGGATTCAGAGACAGGAGGATCTCTGTGAGTTCAAGGCCAGCCTAGTCTACATTCATTTTACAGTGTTGGTGTTGCTTATCTTTCTTAGGAATTGAATATTCTTCTAGCAAAACCAGCATGCATTATTTAAGTACAATAGATTTTCTATCTTAGCATTAGCTGATGAGTAAGAAGTATTTAAAATGACTGGGGTTTTGAACTCAGCAGTCAGCTCTAGAGCAGTGGGTCTCAGCCTTCCTAATGCTGCGGCTCTTTAAGACAGTTCCTCGTGTTGTGGAACAATGAGATTATTTCATTGCTACTTCAGAACTGTAATTTTGCTACTGTTATGAATTGTAATGTAAATCTCTGTGTTTTCCCATGGTCTTAGGTGACTCCTTGAAAGGGCCACTTGACACCCCCAAAGGGGACATGACCGGTTGAGAAGCATTGTCATAGTGAGTTCCAGGATAGTCAGGGCTGCATAGTGAGACTCTCAGAAAAAGCCCATTTGAAATGTAACGATTATTTAGATTAAATGTGGCAGTGTTATCAGTCATCCTATATAGGTATAGGGCTGTTTTGTTTTGAGATAGAGTCTCACATATGACAGGCTGACCTCAAGCCCACAGGCATCTTTTCTTCCAGGATGGAATGTACACTTTAAACTGTTTTCTTGTTTTGTGTCTATTTTCAATCTTGTATTTAAAACATTAAGGCACAGAGTTACATTTTTCCAAGAAAATTTGCATGCTCAAGTTTCACTGAGAGAGGGTGACAAGTAACAGGTATGCTGATACCAAGTTATGTTCCAGCTGTTTGATAACTGGTAACAAAATGATCTTTCTCTGAAAACGTGTTCTCTACAGATTTCCTACATACACATTCCACTTATATGTCTTGCTGTGAAATCATTACTTAATATGTAATATTAGGCAAGCAAATATGTAATACATGATTCAGTAGTTATCATGCTGTGGAACAATCTTTGTATACTATAAACATGTATTATTTTCATTGATTAATAAAGAGCTGACTGGCCTATAGCTGGGCAGGAAGAGATTGGGCAGAAGAGCCAGACTAGGAGGTAGCTGTTAAGAAGAAGTTCAGAGTCTCAGGAGTCGTCAGCAGATGCAGAGGGCTGTGCTGAAAAAAATATCGCCATGTGGAAGAATGTAGATAAGGTATATGGGTTAATTTAAGCTGTAAAAGATGGTTGGTAATAAGCTTAAGTTTTGGGCCAAGCATTTATAATTAGTATTAAGTCTCTGTGTGGTTCTTTGGGAACAGCTTCTGGGACAGAAAAATTCCATGTGCATATGGTACCCATATGTCTGGCACCTACATCCATGTAAGACCTGAGAAATTTCTTGAGGGGTAAGAGGAAGCGTTAACCAAATGAAGTGTCCGTAGAAGTGCTACATTGAACTCGCTTTACAACTCAAATAAAAATGTGAGTAAGAGGGGCTAGAGCTAGAACAGATGTGATATGAAAGATTGTGAAAAAGGAAATACTAGGAGGTAAAGGTGGAATACACTGGAGAAGTGGGGAAGAAGGACGAGCTGCCCAAAACTGAGGGTGTGTGAAGAAGTCGTGAAAGCCCATGTCTTTTAAATTAACAAAAAACATAGTAGTATAAAAAGGAGTTGGAGCAGAGGCACACTGCATGGGTGGACAATGCTGCTCTCAGATGTGGGCTATTAAAGGAACATCCCAGTTCAAAGCGTGGGTTATCTCTTCTCCCTACAAGTTATAGGTCAAGAAAATTCCAGAGTCCTTCAAAGACGGTACAGTTAGTACCATTGCTCTTGGCTGCCCCAACTAGGTGGTGAGGCACTTTTGCTCAGGACACCACATACTTTCCTTGTGGTGAGAGATCAATCTTGAATTGACCGGGAAACAGTCTCCCCATGGCTGCCTTTCATAGTGCCGGAAGGTGCTGTTCAGGCTGCTGAGGGAGAAAAGGGATTCATGGTCTTTCCCAGCTCCAAACCATGCATGCTCCATCGCTGACCTATCAGGAAAGATGTACCCACTGGCACAATACTGGCAAGACTGTTCATTGGATTGTTATAGTTAGCTTCAGCTGTCAACGTCATACAAACCTAGATTCAGCTGTAAAGAGGGAAACTCAATGGAAGGATTTCCCCAGATCAGATTGGTCTGTGGTCATGTCCATGAAATATTTTCTTTTTCACTTTTCTTTTCCCTTCCCTTCCTTCTCCTTCCCTTCTCTTCTCTTTTCTTTTCTAGAGAGGATTCCACTATGTAGCTCTGGCTATCCTGGACTCAACTGTAGACCAGGCTGACCTCTAACTCATAGAGATCTGCCCGACTCTGCCTCCAGGTTGCTGAGATTAAGGCAAATGTGTGTCACTACTACTTGGTGGTGAAATGCTTAACAATTAAAAAAAAATTATTTTGCCTAATCAAAAGGAAGAATTGGCCTTCAGTGACCTCTGGTGGCTACAGCATATAATTTTTGTTTCCCTTTAACCTTTTTCTTTTCCTTCCTTCTTTCCTTCCTTCCTTCCTTCCTTCCTTCCTTCCTTTCTTTTTTTTTTTTTTGTTGTTTTTGTTTTTTGAGACAGATATTTTCTGTGTAACCCTGACTGTCCTGGAACTCACTCTGTAGACCAGGCTGTCCTCAAACTCACAGAGATCCACATGCCTTTGCCTTCTGAGTGCTGGGATTAAAGGCGTGCGTCACCATGCCCGGCTGTTACCCTTTTCTCCTAACGTGTAATGAACGTAGAAGTGGACTGAACAAAGTGGTGGCTATACAGGTCAGAGACGTTGTTCTAACTGGGACAAAATGGACGTCCATGGAATGGGAAACCCTAGAGTTAAATTCTGGGGTATATTTATCTTCTTTGACTTTTCAAGGATCCACTTCAAAATATTTCCACAATTATACACACACACACGAAGTATTTTGATCATATTCAGCCAATTGCTGTCTCTCATTTCCCTTCAGTCCCGGAGCACTTTTCTTGGCCACGTCTTTCCCACTGCTTTTGTGTCTTTAGTGCATAGGCATCCTTGTGCAGTGTTTACTGGTGCAGTGGTAACGTACCTGTGGCCACACCGTTGAGGAACGTGGCTCTCCCTTCCCCAACAATCATTAACTTCCCTCCGAGGACCGACTCTTTACGTGCATCCTCCATTGCTGAGAACCCTATTAGAGAGATGGTGTTAATAGTGCGACTTCAAGACTGGATTTGGGTACCAGCTTCACAAAATGATCCAACTTGGTTGGATAAAATGGTGCACCTTCTTACAACATTCTGGCCAG